AGAGCTGTAGCAACCTTATTGACTCTCTGCACCCTACTCCAAGTGAATGCCAGCAAAAGAGCTGGGTCCTTCCCCTTCTCCACTACTTGTGCACAGCCTGTGGCATGAAACCCTGAGGGACCCCCGCCCCAAACACATGCACACACTCTAAGGGAGCCTAGAAAGATTCAGAGCCATCTGCACCACTGCCCCCCGCTCCAAGAGCAGCTATCCAGTCCCTGAGTAGATCCCTGTCAACTTGCTCTGCTCTACACTAAGCGAGTGCTACCAAAGAGACAGTCTCATCCTCTGCCCAGGGATGCTGTGCACGTAGAACATGCAGTATTGACCCCTGATAAGAAGACAGGGAACACAAAGCCCCAACTTTTTACCCAAAAGAATAGCAGTGGGGATCCTTGGAAATCAGAAAGTGAAGAGTAGATTATGGAGAGGAAGGAGCTGGAGAAAGGGATATTTTAAATCTGTGTATGAAGTCCTGAGCCTACCCCAGATTCGTGCATGCATGAATCCAACCAGATTCAGCACAGTGTAGATTCTGAACACTTAACTCAAGTTTCAGATTGGTCTCTGGGAGAGACACAAGTGAGATGGACCACATATCACTGCAAAGACTGAAAATCAAATTGACATTGGAACTACAGTCCACAAAAAGTGAATAAGGACAGGTGGTCTGTTCTCAACTAAAATAAGTAATCACAAGAACACAAATCCAGATGATTTAAACAGGATCCAGAATCTCATAATGTAATATTCAAAATATCTAGGATAAAAATCTAAAGTTACCGGACATAAAAGGAATCAGGAAAACCTAAACATCTCTTAAGAAAAAAGACCATCAATCAATAGATGCCAATGACAAGATGACCCAAATATTAGAATGATCGGACAAAAATTTTAACGCAGCTATTATAATGGTGGCAGAGGGATAAAACTTTCCTGGATTCCTCATTACTCCTCTAAAAACCTCTAGCCTCCTGAGAATTTTCAAATACCATGAGAATTTGATCTATAGCTGTTTGTCAGGCTAATTGCTCTGATCTGAAAGGATAATAAAACTTTTCTAATTTCCCTGGGAGGGCAAAATTATTAAAGTCTGGACTAGACTAGATCCCTAGGTTAAACTCACAGTGTGCTGGGGAGACTGGCTCAGTAGCTTCCTAGGTATTTACATGTCAAAAAAAAGATGAAGCCTCAGAACTTGGAAACATTTTTAAGTTGTAAGAGTTGAGACACACAGGGCTATCTGGCTCCTGGAGAGATTTTATTTACATATCAAAGAGTTGGAATTTGGAATAAGGCCCTTATGTTTGTAAGGAGACCTTCTGATGAGGGGTGGAAGATGAATGACTCCTTGCTCTTCATAAGCCGACAAAAATTATCTTCCTCATCTCTCATCTATGAAGTGTCTAGCACTTCTGTGCGAACGGAGGCTAGAACCTAAGAGGGTGATGACACACTTAAAAGAAATCTGTCTTTGACCCATAACACCTCATTTGCACATTCAGTATAAAATTAACCAAAGATGAGTATTAAAAACTCAACAATAGCCATGGCGCAAGAAGAATGGGCAAACATTCTTGGAATAAAAGGAAACACAGAAGTTTTCAGTAAAGAAACAGAAGCTACAAAAAAAGAATGAAATGACTTAAAAGATAGGAGATAGGGTATAGGAGAGGAATGAAAAACAGGCAAAAAGAAAACTAATACACTGACAGGCATAAATATAAACATATGAATAATTTATTTAAATGTAAATGATCTCAGTTAAAAAGATAAAGATTGTCAGATTGGATAAAAATAAAAATAAGACCCAACTGTACGCTATCTACAAGAAGTCCATAGGAAGCATAATGATCCAGATGATGGATCTGTATGGATCCATAATGAGCCAAATGAAAGGATGGCAAAAAATAAATGATTCAAATGCTATTCAAAAAAAATAGAATGGCTATGTGATTACCACACATAACCAACTTCAGAACAAAGAAAATTACTATAGATGTTTTTTAAAAAAATCACCCAGGGGTGCCTGGGTGGCTCAGTTGTTAAGCATCTGCCTTCAGCTCAGGTCATGATCCCAGGGTCCTGGGATCAAGCCCCGGGCCCCCTACTCTGCGGGAAGCCTGCTTCTCCCTCTCGCACTCCCCCTGCTTGTGTTCCCTCTCTCGCTATGTGTCTCTCTGTCAAAGAAATAAATAAAATCTTTAAAAAAAAAATCAATACATTGCAACCAAGTAAGGTTTATCCCAGTGATGCAAGGCTGAACATTTGAAAATTAATTAATGCAATTCATGTATTAAAAGCCTTAAAAAAAAAACACATGATCATATCAATAAAAGCATAAAAAGCCATTTGGCAAAATTCAGCATTCATTCGAGATTTTTTAAAATACCTCATCAAATTAGGAACAGAATGAACATCTTAACTTGATAAAGTTTATCTACGGAAACACCTACAGGAAACAACATTCTTTTTTTTTATTTTTTGTTTTATTTTTTTTAGGAAACAACATTCTTAATGGTAAGGTACTGAATGTTTCTACCCTAAGATCAGAAACAAGACAAGGGTGTCGGTTCTCACCACTGTTATTCCATATCATACTGCAGTTTTAGCCAGTTCAAGAAGGCAAGAAAAAGGAATAAAAGGCATTTAGACTAAAAAGAAAGCAATAAAACTATCTCTATTCACAGACAATAGGATTTTCTATATAGGAAATCTCAAGAATCTATAAAAAAATGCATTACCAGTTCAAGGAAGTCAATGGTATTTCTACCCACTAGCAATGAAAATTTAGAAACTAAAACTTAAGAAAAGATTATATTTACAATAGCTTAAAAATTAAATACTTAGTTATAAATCTGTATACTAAAAAGTGTAAAATGTTGATGAAACATATCAAAAAAGACCTAAAGAAACGGAGGCACATACAAAATTCTTGGATTAGAAGATTCAGTATGGATCAGATATCAATTTTTCCCAAAAGAATCTATAGATTTAATCAGTCCCAATAAAAATCCATTGTAACTACAAAAGATTCATTTGAAATATATACGGGAAAGTAAAGAAACTAGAACATCCAAAACAATTCTGAAAAAGAAGAGCAAATGTGGCTACTATTCAACTTTAAGGCATTCCATGAAGCTATAGTATCAAGACAGAATAGTATTGGTAAAAAGATAAACATGTAGAATAATGAAACAGAAGAGAGACTCTAGAAATAGATCCACTCAGATACTGTCAGCTGATTTGGACAAAGGTGCAAAGGAAATTCAAAGGAGAAATGCAGTCTTTGCAATAATTGATTCTTGGAACCATCGACATCCATATTAAAAAATAATAATAATCCTCAACCTACATCTTGCACCATACACACACATGAGAACTCAAAATGTAAATGTAAACTGATACAAAATGTAAAACAATAAAGCAAATGTAAAGAATGAAACTATAAAATTCTTATGTCAAAACAAAGGAGAAATATTTATGACCTTGTGTTAGGAAAGAGTTCTAAGGTATAATGCCCAAATTATGATATGTCAAAGAAAAAAACTGAATTTGATTTCACATTATGAAAACTACTTCTGCTCTGTTAAGGACACATTTAAGAGAATATAAAAACTAGTCACAGACTGGAAGACAATATTTGCAAATCATGTATCAGATAAAGGACTCTCAAAACTGAAGAATAAGAAAACAACCCAATTTTCAAAGAATGGGCAGAACGTTTCAACAGGTATTTTACAAAAGAAGATATGTGGATGAGAAACAAGCATGTCAAAAGATGCCCAACATCATTAAGTCATTATGGAAAAGTAAATTAAAAGTAATGAGATACCATTACACATCTAATAGAATGGTTTAAATAAAGAATAATGATAACACCAAGTGTTGATGAAGATGAGAAGAAACTTCTACCCTCAAACACCGCTGGTGAGAATGTAAAATTGTGTAGCCACTTAGAAAACAGTTTGACAGTTTCTTAAAAACTTAAACATACACTTACTACATAACCCAGCCAACTCACTATAGGTATTTATCCTGGAAAAATAAAAACAAATTTTGCCCCAAAACCTGTACATGAATGTATATAACAGAATTATTTAAAATTGTTTCAAACTAGAAACAATCCAAATATCCTTCAGTGAATGAATGGATACAGAAACTGGTTAGTACATCCACAAGTGGAATACTACATAGCAATATAAACGGACAAATTATGATACACACAAAAACTTGGATGGATCGCGAATGTATTTTCCTAAATGAAATAACCCAGTCTCAAAATGTTACATAACTGTATGAGTCCATTTATATGACAGTCTAGAAAAGCAAAAACATAGAAACAGAAAAATCAGTAGTCACCAGGGATGGGGAGGGTCAGAATACAAAGGTCAATGTTTTGGGAGAATTCTTTGGCAGTGTTGACATTTTTCTGTATCCTGTCTGTGGTGATGGTACCAAGAATCTATACAAGTATAAAAACTCATAGTTCTGTACAACAATAAAGTGGATTTTACTCAATGTAAGTATACAAATTAAAAAACATTATAAAAGAAACCTCTTCTGGGGACTTTGTGACAACGTATTTACATTGGAAGAAAATTCTCAGGATTTAAGAGTACAATAAAATGTTTAAATCTCACACCAGTTAAAGACGATATGCAAACCAGGTTATTAAGCAAGAGAAAATCAAGAAGCTAGAGGCAACGAAGTAGCAAGGATCAAGAAGCAAAAGTATATAAGCTCTCCTATAAATAACACGTATGTGTAGCTTCTTAAAATTCCTCCCTACCACCCAGACAGAGATCAGGGAGTGAGGTGAGAAGAATAGGAGGATTTACACAAGAGGAAGTGAGGTGAGGGAGATACAAGAGTAACCTAGCCTCTACATCAAATGAAGGGTACGGTAATTTTCCAGGTACACTGACTTAACCTCAATTATTGACTTCAGCTCTGTCTCTAAAAACTACCAGGAACAGAAAATCCATATTCATCAATACCTCTTCAATAGCACCTGCAGAAATCCTGTGACCTGCAACATTTATCACATCATCAACTCGAGACATAACATATAAATAGCCTTCTTCATCCATGTAACCAGCATCCATGGTGTCATAGTATCCCTGAAAATAAGAACCGATAATGTTTAATTAGCATGTATTGCTAGGTAATGCAATCATTTGGGTTTCTTATAATATAAAATCTGATAGAAATGGATTTACTGCATGCATTTGACTTTTTTCATTACTAGGCTATGGAATTAAACTCCTTTTGATTTTGATAACTTACTAGAATCTCTTTGCTCCACTAATAGCCAGGACTAAATTTAAGCATTCTTATATATATATTCAAGTTAAATGTTTGAAAGTTGTTAAGTTTATGAACTCCTTTTTTTTTTAATGGAGAAGTAACAGTTCAATATTTCCAATATACTTTGGTATTGCAAAGTAATTCTTTTATAGATTTCTTCCTTAATTATACTAATTTTTAAAAGCTTTAAAGCTCTCCATAAATAATTACAAAATAGAGAGCTAGTTTACTAACATGAATCTGGGTTAGACTCTAGCTTCCATGAAATATAATAATAGGGGTGAAATTTAATTTTTAATCAACTCAAAGTAGTAGCACATCTTCACTGGTCCAGAAATCACAACAGAAATGAAGAATCAAGAAGAATAAGTAGAAACAAATACTACTTCTAATGCTTTTCAGTTATCTTGATACTTACGTTAATAAGCATGGGCTCTAGGAACAATCCAGATGAGTCACTATTTGTGCTTCTTATTCTTTCTGAGACTCAGTGTGCTCATCTGTTAAACAGGGTAGTGGACTATACCCTGTAAGGCTTCTGTGAAGCATAAACGAGATAGTGTATCTAAAGAGGGCAGGCCCTGGCCCATTATAAGCCCTCAGTAATTGGCAGCTCTTACTGCAATTACTACTGGAGAGAAAACCTAGAGTACAGTTAAAGAGCACGGACCGTGGAACCGGCCATTATGAGTTCCATTTTCAGCTCCATCACTTCTAAACTATAGGCAAGTTACTCAACCCTTCTGTGCTGTGATCAAGCCCTTAGATGAGAAGTTTGAAGTCAGGGTAACACGGCAAGAATATATATACAGAGTCACTCCACATAGTTTAACCATAAACTGAGACTCTGAAGGAGCTTTCAGTGTTAAAGGTGATCATGTTAAAACCACAGGCACACCTTATTTGCCATTGTCAGGTGTAATTAATCATATCAGTACTCTGATGATTTAACGGTGGCCCATCGGGCGGATAGATTGGGCTGACCTGGAGTCAACTCTACTAACAAATCTTCCTGGCCACACTCTATCCATCGGGGGCCTGTTTAATCTCAGCTACTGAGGTCATTTAACTCCAAGATCTCTTTCTAAAGGAAGCTATTTTAAATCTTGTCATTTGTCTGCTTGATTAGATTACCTGTCCTTCACTCACAAATAATAAAGATAAAATGTTAAACACTGAAACTTGTTTTTGTTTTTAAATGAAGTTCTGACCTTTTTTTTTTTTCACCTACTGCATGATGAGAACCAAGAATCTCTCGGAAAGAAATAGAAGTCAAAGGACAGCAGCAATATGATGGTGGGACCTGATGTGTATTATCAGTAAAGTGCTGTTATGAACACAAAACACATCTCGGTGACGTGGAGAAACAGGTAAACGACAAGACAAAAACAGTTTTTGTCATCCAGGTGACTGGAGTTTGTGCTACAGGAACACCATGTCGAGCATGTATCTGTATTTTAAAGTGGGAATTTAAAATAAAAAGCCAAGAGAACATTCAGGAATGAATGTCAAAAATAGGTAAGGGAATGGAAAAATAAAACTGTGGGCAATCCAAATGAACTTTGCTCACATAGCATAGATTAAGGGGTCCCAGTGACAGGGTACAATTCTGATCAGGTTCTCTCAGTCTGCAGAGGGATCCAATGCAGGAAAGAACAGAGATAGCCCCCCAAAAGTCTTTAATTTAATAAAAACTTTCCTGATATTGAGGGCTGCTAAAATTCAGGAAAATGTGCTAAGAGAAACAGAAATGTCTATGTCCAGAGACTGAAAAATAAATATAAAAATGACTTGTTTCGATCACTGGGGTGTGGGCATTCTGATTTCTGAGACCTAGAACTTGGTCCAGATAAACTTTAAAAGTTGTATTGTTATCTATGATTCCAGGACTGAGTGCTCAATTTAATAGGCAAGAACTATAAAGAAGTACTTTGGAAGGTTTAAAGAAAAGTATAATAAAGTTCTTACAGGAAATTTTTCAAAGTATAAATGCTTGAATGCTTCCTGATTCTTCCAGAGTCCTGAAAAAGCCCCAGGTGGTAATGGCAACCTTATATAAAAACAGAGCAGTTAGAATTATGATCAAAGTGGTAATAAAGATAGATTGATTAGAATAATTTTCTAGTGTGATGGATAATTGCAAGTCAAATCCCACATTGAAATATAACCCCTAAATCTACTGGACAGATCATGTCTAACTGAGGCTGAAGTAGCTGACCATGACATAGCAGCGTCACTGAGGGATGACTGTAGTTTCTGGAAAGGTCACAAAAGGCATATATAGCTGGCATTCAAATAGATATTAGCAGCAATCACTGTTTCAATAAGAAGCATAACATCTGCAAAAAGGAACCACAAATGCATCACTGAATTACTTTTTAGGACAAATATCCTTCTACCATAGGCAAATAATTTTTTTTTTTTTTTGAAGTTCCAAGGTCCTAACTGCCACCTCTGCCCATCTCTGTGTGATGAAATGCTCCAAGTCAACATTCCAGGAACAATCTTACCTTCCCAATCAATCTGCATCAGGGAATTCCCTCTCACTACACCCTCTTGTATTCTTCCTTTTCATGACCATCCCAATCTATGTGATTTCTCGTCTGATGAACACATGGAGATACTTGTGAATATAAAATATAAGATAGGATACACCCTTCTTTCCAACTAATTTGCTCTTCTATTTTTTGCTTTCCTCCATAGTATCAAACAGGTGTTATACACTTGGCAAGGGCTTCATCTTTATCTGTCTATCTTGATACAAGTAAATGAACAATTGTTTTCTGGACACAAGAACATTTTCAGATGTTTTACAGTTTGGAAATTCAGATGCTGTAAAACTTATGGATTTTCCAAAAACCTTCCCTCTCCAGGCTCACGTAATAAAAAATACAAAGTGAAGCAGTGACTTCACAGTACTGATTCTGAGAAAACTGAAAACAAAGTAGACATGGCTACTGCCCACATGAGGCAACATCCTGCATCCTCCACCCCAACATTAGGCCTCCGAGGCTCTGAACTGTAGTCTCATGTTCTATCAGGCAGAAAGTGCCGTTAGAGGTGGATCCGCAGCCCAGCTCCACCATCCCCAGCCTCCCGATAGGTCCTCTCCTTGCGAGGTCTTCATTTTGTACTATTTTATGATGGAGGAAAAAATGCAACATCTGCATTTCTGGACCTCATGTAATTGCATAAAATGCATATGAAAGCAATTTGTAAAGAGAACGACAGAGATTCTGCTGTTGTTACTATTGCTGTTCATCACTAAACCTGCGCGAAGGCAGTAGGCTGAGGCAGATGATCCCTTTGGGTCCTTGTAACTGACTTTGCTAGGTCAATCCTCAATCACTATGTATATAATTTCATTTCATCAGTTTGTTTTTATTGTTAATATTTTACAAACAAGTGTAAATCATTGGTAATTAAACATGGAAATAAAATATGAATATGGCAGCCACCAAAACACATTCAATTCAGCATCCTTTTCAAGATGCTGAGGATAAAGAGGTGAACAGGACACCAAGAAGGGATGGTAGATGGTAAATCAAAAGCCAATCTGGGCCAGAAGTGATAACATTAATGAGTGAAGCCAACTATATGTAAAATAAAAGACCTCGACCATAATCTCAGTGGAGATGGGTTCTGTTCACATATTAAATGAGTAATTTTCAGTTGTTTCCCTCCCCCAAATATATCCTGATATATATTCCTTTGTTTTTCATGGTGATATTTTTAAACTATACTCTTAAGAAAAACAAAAGGTAACTATGATAATAAATGGCAACTGACACCCAGGCAGCTTTGGGGACATCAGAGAGTGCTGGGGTCTGAGGCAAATTAGAATGCGGACACCACGTCTAAGGAAAGCAACTTTTTCTTAGCTCCATCTGATTGCTGGTATACAGAAATGCCCATCCAAATCCTGAAACACTTAACATTGCCCATATTAAAAACTATGCATATAGAAGGACCTACTGTTCAATAAGCTTCGCTTTCATTTTATACAAATTTTGATCCCCCCAGCAGTAGAGATGCCTAAGTATTTGCACTAATAATCCAAATGAATTAGTACTTTGGGTACTGCATGCAATCTGACTTTCCCGGTGGCCTAGTATGTACCTGATTCAGTCAGTGTGTGTACATGGGATGGAGAGTGCAGCATTTTCTGGTAAGGGTGTTACTAGAGAGAAAAGGAACATTTTAAACTTCCCAGAAGTTGGTTACATCTGCAACCTCTGTCCTTAAAAAGAAGATGCCCTGATAATTTGGCTTTTCTCTTACTTCCTGAGAGGACTATGGTACCAAAAATTAGTAACAGATAGATTATATTCTTATAATTAATTAAAGCTTAGAGAATTAAAGTATAGGTAGCCATCCTCTGGGGGGGTAATTAACGAACTTCAAGGACATGGGCTTTTTCAGCTGTTGCACAACATTTTAAACACCTACTTAAATTTTTTGAAGAACAGGGACAGTAGGGATTTTTATACAATTTCTCACTCCTGTGAGAAAGGTCTGCATAAGTTTGTATAGACCTATAGACCCTGAGAATTAAGAATAACATACCAAGGATATGATCCAGGGACAATGCACGAAATGGAAGGAAAAATTCAAGGGCAAATGCTATTCTTCTTTAAGGACCAAAGAAATAAGATCAGGGAACAAAAACAAAAGAAAATCAGATGTTTAAGAACTAGGAAAAGATAGTATCTTAGGAGCCACTCCAGTAGAATTTTAATAATGACTGAGTGTTCAACAAAGTCATAGAAGCATAGATTTTGTTTGAAAGTGATTCAATAGAGGTCAGGGAATTTAGTGATTAAGATACTTTGAGTATTCTTAGGATTGCCATTTCAGTGGTGTGGAGCAGACAATAACAGGAGTGATTAAAAAGTAAACAGGAAGTAAGTGGAGGCAGGAAGTTAGACTACACTTTTTTAAAAGTTTGTGGAAGACTGGAAGGAAAAATATGTCATTGATTTAAGGCAGAGAAGCAGGCTGATTTAAGATGGAGACTATGTGAATAGAAGTAGCCAGTGAGGGGGCAATGAAGATATGAAAGTTAGAGAAGAAAATACCAGAGGAATTATGTTTTATTCACTCATTCATGTATGCATGCATGCGTGCATTAACTCATGTATTTATTTTCTTCATTCAGTCAATATTTGTTGGACGCTTGGTATTCCTCAGTCACTGTGTTAGACATTAACGATATAAAGATTTAAATTCCGGTCTCAGACACATGAAGATCCTGGCATAATGGTACTATAAGAAACTTAGTATTTTTATAATATAGATAAGGAGAAAGACTGTCATGAATGATGTCTATTCCATTAAGTTAATGAAATAACATAAAGATGTTTGTCAGACAAGTTTTATAGCAGGTCCTTAGACTCTGTACCAGCAGGAGCTCTTGGAAGAGAGTTTTATCCCTCAAACTAAGCCCACACCTAAAAGCCAAGGTGCGGATCTGCTGGAAATGGCATCTGTGCCTCCTGATCATTTTTGAGATGTCCCAGAAAACTACTTCAATATCCCCAAATCTAATTGAGAAACAGGCTGGAGAGCAAGATAGGAGATTGCAATTAGTACTTAGTAGGATAAAATGAGGGAATGCTATCTGTTCTTCACTAATAAAGTCTGATACATTTTAAAAATTCAGATGTTGCAATTTCAATATTAGAAAAGGAGTCTAAAAAAGGAACCTTGAAAGATGCCATATAATGGTCCTAAAGAAAAGCAGGAAGAGAGGCTTCCAGAATTGGGAGTGTGAAATAAAACAGGAGCAGCAATAAGCTCCAGAGAGAAGTTAGGTGTATATGAGTTAGAGCAGATTTTTTTTTTTTTTTTTACAAAATTCCAAATTAACATTTTTCTTGTTGAATATCCTAACGATTATCCTATTCCTTCTGGAAAAATGGATGCCCTGGGGATAATATCTGTCCTACCGTCTACCTCACAGAGATGTTACAGAAAACGAAAACTATTTTCTATAGTTACAATAACATGAAGATACATTAGACTGGCAGGAGGAGGGGAAGACTTGAAAATACTGAGACATAGGCTGGTTAGTGTCTGTACTCCTCCTTCAAATCCAAGATAAAATGTTACCATTCTGTGATACCTTTCCCAACTCTTTCAGGCAGAGTGAAAGGCAAGTTTTGTTGCAACCTGTCCAACTGTGAATCAAGAGTTACCCTCAAAGAATGTCTTTCCTCAGAGACCAATCTTAAGGGGAAAGAGAAGTAACAGAAGTGATCCCCTGCACGGGCGCTGATGGGGAAGCATGGGGGTGCTGAGAAATCCTTAAACAGATAAGAAAAGAAGGGAATGCTCATCACTGTAGAAGATGACATTCCGGATCACTCTGGAATGTAAAACTCTTATATGTCTCCATTCCCAGATACAGGATGGTCTGTATTTACTGTTCCATTAGGAATCCCCATGGTAACAAAAGTACATTGAAGATATAACTCCTGTTCCCTAGAGAACTGTGGGATTAGATCCCAACTTTGCCCTCCCAGCATTTCCTATGGAGTCTGCAGGCTTTACTTGACATTTTTCATATGAGGCTACTTTTTATCTCCCCACAGAGACTGATTAGGCCATAATTTCTTTCTCTCTGGACAGACAAAAGACTAGGTTATAAATGTGAGCTCTAGCTGTGTCACTACGAAAGATGTTTAGACACCCATGTCTAAAATGAGGATAATATCTGTCCCACTGTCTACCTCCCGGTGATGTCGTAAGGCTAGTAAAAGATCATACTAAAATCTGCATATGATAGTTAGAAAGGAACATGATTACAATTATGTGTCACCCTTAGTTTTACTCAGAGGAGATGCTGAAGAAAAGAAAGCTGTCCTGACCCTTTCCCAAGACAGCAGCAAAGCGACCAAATCACTCCTGCGAAGCTATAAAGATGTGAACAAACACCGTTAGGGGACAGGAGTTCAATTTCTGGAGGCTGAGAAATTGGCAGGCACCAGAGTAGAAGCCACCTGGACGCTGCCACTGCCTGCAGGGCACCCCCACCCCCCCCCTGCCCCA